GGAGAGGGAGAGGGAGAGGGAGAGGGAGAGGGAGAGGGAGAGGGAGAGGGAGAGGGAGAGAGAAACTGTCCTCCTAAGGTATAGGTGGGTGGGTGGGTGGGTGAGTGGGTGGAAGAGAAAAAGTTGCAACCATTCCCTCCCTTGGTACCCTGGAGACTGGATGCAGGAACTCTTCTGATACACACAGCATGTGCTGAAGATCTGTCAAGTAGTGTTAGCTGGTGTATAACCTATACATCTCCCCAGAAGGTTCCTCCGTAGGTGGCTTTCCCTGACATAGTACCGTGTCTGTAGTTACATTATATTTCTTAGGAAATTGTGACAGGAAAGGAAAACTCGGTACACATTCAGCTTTTTCCCCTATAGATGCACAGCCTACTTGTGCAGTGTTTGCTTGTTTCCCAGAGGTGGGGGAGTGGCAAAGGCACTTGGGTTTGGCATCACATTGGAAACCTCTGTCGAGGACCTAGACACAAAGAGGCTCAGCATCACCTGCAGTCTTTGCTCCCACAAAGCTCCTTTGAGGACCCTGCTTTCTTAAGTGAGGGACATTAAATTAGAGAGAAACATGAAGGAGACCCCAAGATGTTTTTTAAAAGTTTTTATTCATTTACTTACTTATGTTGTATGTGTGTGTGCATGTGTGTTTGTGTGTGTTTGTGTGCGCGCATTTAGAGGCCAGAGGTCGACATTATGTCCCTTCCCCAATTGCTTCCCACCTCATTTTTTTTCTTTTTTGAAAGAGTATCTCTCATTGGCCTAGAGCTCATGGGTTTGACCAGACTGGCTGGCCAGGGAATCCCCTGCCTTTGCTTCTCCAGTGTTAGGTTACAGACATGTGTCATCATGTCAAACTCTTACGTGGGTGCCAGGAATCGGAACTCAGGTCCACATGCTTGTCTGGCAGTCACTTTGTTGACTGAGCCACTTCCCCAGTTCTAAGTCCAGGGTCTCACGGAGCCTCATTCACAGCTCCAGCTTCACCATGACCACAGTGTGGCTTAGGGTAGACCTACCTGAATAGGCTACTAACTTCTGCTTTCTGCCATCAGCACCGGAAAAGCTTTAAGTGGCCCAGCCACTCATAATGTGACCTTATTCTTCTGTTCTAGGGGAAGCTGGCAGGGCAGCATGGCTTTCCTGGGAAGTAGCTGGAACTGAAAGCACAGCAAATCTGTTTGAGCTCAGATTAGATGGACTCACATCCTTACACCCTCGGAAGAGCCCTTAGGTTCTTTACTCAGGTCCTGCTAACTCTCAGTATATACACTGGTCTAGCAGGTTCTTTAGTTCAGAGCAGATTTGACGTGAAGTATGGCAGAAAGCAGTGTTTAACAACCAGGGAGGAAGCAGACAATGGTACTGAAACTTAACCACAGCACAGTGATCTGGGGCTGAAACACTCGGGGCCTATGTTCCCACGAATGACAGTATAGGCTTCTCTGTACTACAGGATGCTAACTCGATTGGTGAGCTAACAACACTCACAAGACAGCAAGCAAAAGCTAGTGGTGGGCAGGATAGTGCATGAAGGGTGCACTGTGCACGTTAGCAAAAGCCAGAGGCGTTAGGGGCTTGTCACTCTTATCTAGGAAGGTCCCCCCCACTCCTGTGGAATAAGGGGAGAGATGATTTCCTGATTTAATTTATAAGTTTGGTCTGTCTGTGTGCTCAGTGGTGACTCAGGAGGGGTGGAGGTTGTACTGTGCGCATCTCTTGGGCACTGTAGTTTAGAGTTGGAGGCTCAGCTGCTCAGGAAGAAATGAGGGAGGCAGAAGCGGGAAGGAAGGTGGCTCCTTTCAGTCACTTCAGTGACTATGCTAAGAGCTATTTGTACTATAAGGAAACCAGCTCCTGTCCATTCACAAGGACAGAGATAAATGCTAGGAAGGAAACACAACAGCCAGAGATGAATGTAGAGCATGTGGGCGGGGCTCCTGGGGCTCGCCAGGTCCCTGCAGAGGCCGGAGCCCTGAAGACAGCAGGTGCTGGAAGAGGAGACCTGGGAGGCAGGGTGTTCCAGAGAGGCCAGTGTAAAGGTAGGTGTTGCTGTGTGTCAGGATGGTCAGTGTCCCTACTAAGTGATGGGTAGGGGAACTTGCTGGATTCTGGGGCTGTGGTGCCAGTTTAACTGAGGGAATTTGAAATTTAGTTTGTTTTTGTTTTTATGAGACAAGGTCTCTCTGTATAGCCTTGGCTATCCTGGAACTCACCTGGCTGGCCTGCCTCTGCCTCCAGAGTCCTGGAAGTACAGGTGTGTGCCACTACTCCCTGGCTGAAATTTATTTATTTTTATCAGGTA